ATGTGAGGGCTTAGTTCTTGCACGTCTTCTTCTTTGTCTTGGGTGTGGGCTTGTTTGGACAAACTTCCACAAAGTGCCCCAACTCGCCGCATCCATAGCATCCTCTCTTTCTTTGCTCATTTCTTTGATTGGTAAAAATCAGATCTTGAATTTGGATGGGCACACCCTTGACATTGAGCCTTTGGATCATTTTCTCCACCTTGTTGATTAATTTGATTGATTCTTCATCAAGGTTGGAGGTGGAGGAGGAAGATTTATCATCATCACTTGAATCTTCATCATCATCATCATCGTCCTCATCTTCTTCTTCATCTTCACTTGAGGAGCTTGAGCTTGAGCTTGTCTCAACTTGCTTGCCCTTCATCTTCTTTTTCTCGCTACATGCGAGAGCTTTGCCTTTGCTCGATGAAGAGGCTTCATCTTGACCCATCGTACATGACATTTCAAATGCCACTATCTTGCCAATGACTATGCCTGGGGTCATGGTGCTCAAGTTCTCCATGTTGTGAAGGATGGTGATGATGCTTGCATATTTCTTTTGTGGTAGCACGGAGATGATTTTCCTCATGATGTCCGCATCATCTAGCTTTGTTAATCCTATTGAATGGAGCTCATTGATAATTAGATTCAAGCAAGAATACATATCATGAACAAGCTCATTATCATTCATTGTAAATGAATCATAATTTTGCTTAGCTAGACAATATTTTTGCTCACGGATATTACTTATGCCGTCATGGAGCTCTTGGAGTTTTAACCAAATTTCATGTGCTGTATTTAAGGTGAACACTTGGTTAAACGCATCCATGCTAAAAGATTCAAACAAGTAAAACAAGTAATTTTAGCTCTAGCATTGAAATGCATTTCTTTTTCATCACTCTTTGTGGGTTTTTTGGGATTCTTAATGGGTTTCATCCCGTCACAAATGACTCTCCAAACACCCAAATCAACCGCCTCAAGATAGCAAGTTATTCTAGCTTTATAATATAGGAAGTTTGTGTTGTCAAAGTGCGGAGGCCTAGAGGTATCCATCCCAACCACTCTAAATGGCGTCGGCTCAACGACGGTTAAGCCAAAGGTCCAAATTGAGCCAACCGGCTCTGATACCAATTGAAGTGGACCGTGACACCTAAGAGGGGGGTGAATTAGGTAACTTAAAAATCTAACTCTTTGACAATGGCCTCTTTTTTAACCTTAGCAAAACCTATGCAAAAGATAAACTATCTAAATGTGCAACTATGATTTTGCTAGTGTGTTGCTATCTCTACCGTAAAAAGGAGTAATACAAACAATGTAAATGTGGAAGCTAAAGATCAAGGTAGAGATATGCAAACTCTGGTCGACGACTCCGGTATTTTTACCGAGGTATCGAGAAGCACGCAAGCTTCCCCCTAGTCCTCGTTGGAGCCCCTCACAAGGAATCCCTCGCAAGGGCCAAGCTCCCGGTCGGGTAACTCCGTGGATAGCCTCGGGCCTTCCCCACATGCAAGTGGGTCTTCGATGTGCCTTCCGGCAAGCCTCTCCCGGATGAGCTTCCGGCCGAAACGCCGCGGCCCTTGTTCCCTCCGGTACATGGTGACGGCCACACCACAAACGCGGTTGGTGTGATCACGCAAGACTACAAGCTCCTCTGAAGTACAACAATAGTGCGCACAAGCACCGAGTGGTAAGAGGTATGCAAACCTCACTAAACAATAGGCCTAATCTAGAGCAAGTGCATAAGCGGTGGTCTAATCAACCTAAGCACTTCGTAAAGCACCTACGCTAATCACCTAATAAAACACCGGTTGGGGATCACTAAGCACCATGGAAGTGGAGATCACTAAAATGGTGTATCAACACGCTAGATATGTTTCCTCAGTTCCACTCATGCCAAATGACCGGTTGGGGGTTGTATTTATAAGCCCCATTGAGAAACTAGCCGTTGGAGACGAAATCCTACTTTTCTACCACTGATCAGACACTAGAGTCGTCCTGATCGGACGCGTCCGGTCGTCCCGACTGTTGGAGCCATGAACAACTAATCGGACGCTGCCAGCGTCCGATCGCATTTTCGCTGCTCTAGAACCTCTCTGTTCTCGATCGGACGCTGTTGTCCTATGTCTGGTCGGTTTGCCGCCAGCGTCCGATCCAACGTCCGGTCGCTGCTGCTGTTGTCGAGCCTCTGATCGAAGTGTCCGGTCACTTTTTGTCAGCGTCCGGTCCAGCGTCCGGTCGCTGCTGTGAGCTTGTTTCTTCACGATCTTGCGTGCGGCTTGGTTCCTATCTTCATGCTTGGACTTTACTTGATATCTTGGGTCTTCTCTTATGCTCCTAAGGTCTTGCTTGAGGTGTTGATCATCGGATCATCACGTCGCCTTTGTCCAAGTCATGTCTTGCATCCTATTGAACTATAAAAAACAATCACTTGCAAATTCATTAGTTCAATTTGGTCGTGTTGGTCATCAAGCACCAAAATCCAAAGTAAATGGGCCTATGGTCCATTTTCCTTATAAGGGTATTTTTTATAGATTTGTTTTGTTTCATTTAAACTGTTTGGCTGTTATGTTTGTCTGGTTACTTTTGTTTGGCTGTTTTGTGCATGTGTAGGTGCAAATAAATCAAGGGCAGCATAATTGTGCCTCTAGAAGCAGAGTGGTTGGTAGCATGGCCTCACAAGCTTGGGTGGCAGAGAGGGCTATTCCACTACTCAAGAAGAAGCCAAGCATGGGTCCAAAGGAAGTGCAGGAGGAGTTGCAGACCAAATACAAGATTGAGATCCCCTACCAAACTGTAGTGTATGGCAGACAGAGAGCAGCCAACAAGCTTTTTGGTAAGTGGGATGACTCCTTTGATTGGTTGTATAGATTTAATGCAGAGGTAGAGATGAGATCACCTGGTACCATAGTTGAGATAGCTACTGAAGAAGTTGATGGGAAGATTCATTTTAGCATATTTTTTTTGTTGTTTCAAGGCAGCCATAGATGGTTTTAAACATTGATGTAGACCATACATTAGTATAGACTCCACAACCCTTAATGGGATGTGGAATGACCACTTGCCCTCAGCCCAAGCATTAGATGGTCATAACTGGATGTATCCTTTAGCATTTGGTTTGTTTGACTCAGAAACCAAGGAAAACTGGATCTGGTTCATGGAGCAGCTTAGCAAAGCAATTGGACCTATGGACAAGTTAGCAGTATGCACTGATGCTTGCAAGGGTCTTGAGGCAGCAGTGGCTCAAGTGTGGCCTCAGTGTGAGAAGAGAGAGTGCTTCAGACATTTGATGGAGAATATGAAGAAATATTACAGTGGAGATGTCTATGCCAAAAACATATGGCCTGCAGCTAGGGCCTATACTCCTCACAAATTCAAGTATTTCTTTAACAAGGTTGTGGCAACTAGCCCTGGTGTGCTTACTTGGTTGAAAGAGCACCATAACCTACTCTGGACCAGAAGCAAATTCAGCAGTGACATCAAATGTGACTACATCAATAATAATTTAGCTGAGTCCTGGAATGCATGGATTAAAGAACACAAGGATCTGCCTGTGCATTGTTTGGCTGATACTATCACGGAGAAAACAATGGTCCTGTTTGCTAAGAGAAGGAAGATCTCCACTGCCTTGACTAGAGAAACCTTACCTGCTGTCATACACCAACTCAATGCAGCTTCCAAGGGTCTAGGCCACCTCAAAGTGACCAAGGGGCATCCAGAAGAAGCAGAAGTCACAGAGATATACAAAGATGAAGAAGTGAGGAGGCATGTTGTGTATCTTACAAAGCATATTTGCACCTGTAGAGAATGGCAGGTAACTGGGAAGCCATGCCCACATGCACTAGCTATCATCACCACTATAAGGCAGCCCCAAATGGACCTATATGTGGACAAATACTACTCTATTAAGAAGTTTCAGGCTGCCTACCATGGTATTATCCCAAACATCACTAGCAGGGACCAATGGCCTGAGGTTGACAAGGGTTTCAAGTTGTTGCCACCACTGTCCAAGAAGAAAAAACAAACCAGGCAGATTAAAGAAGAGCAGGTACCTATCTCCAACTAAAAGAACTGGAAAAAGAACTAGGCAGGTAAAATGTACTGGCTGTGGTGAGTATGGCCACAGAAGTGGTAGCTAGAGGTGTGCACTGACAGGGATAAAGAAAAGGTAAATACTAAATTGTTATCTTATTTCAACAACTAAGCAACAACTGTGGTGTTTATTTACAGGAAGAGGACTAAGAAGACAGCACCTAGACCAGGCAGAAAGAAGGCCAAGAAGGACCAGCCACTAACATACCAAGGAACACCGAGGACAAGAGCAGCAATGGCTAGAGAGGCAGCTGCAAAGGCAGCAAAAGAGGCTGTAGAAGCAGCAGATAAGGCTGCTGCTGCAGTAGAAGCAGCAGAACAAGCAGAGAGGCATCTCCTGGATGTGCCACCACTGGAGACAATTCCACCATCAAGCCCAAGAACACCTCCAAGCCTTGATTTGCAAATTGTAAACCAGATTGAAGACATGCCTGCTGATGGTGCTCCAAGGAAGATGACACCATGGAGGAAGCAGCTGGCATCCAAGGTCAGGAAGAGTCTAGGAAAGAAGACTCCAGCAAAGAAAGGGAAGAAAAAGTGAAACACCTGAACATGTAATGTGCTTTATGTGGCCACAAGACTATGTAATGTGTGGCCTTAAGCTACTGTGATGTAAGTGGCCAAATGACTATGTAATGTGTGGCCTTAAGCTACAGTGATGTAATGTGTGGCCTTAAGCTACCTGCTATGGTTTCTATTAAGTTATGTGCCACTTGAAACCCTTGTGCTACCTCTATGAATTATGTGTGGCCTTAAGCAACTTGTTATGTGTGGCCTTAAGCTACCTCTGTGAATTATGTGTCAATTCATCATTTCAGTTTCAGTCATCCATCAGTTTCATTCATCCATCCAGTTTCAATCATCCATCAGTTTCATTCATCCATCCAGCCAATAAAATTATGGGGACAACATTTTTCAGTTTCATTCACCCATTACTTCATTACAACATACATCACTACACACCCAAAGACAACACAAGCAATGAACATGTTCATCTTCAACATCAGTTTCTCCAGCTTGAGCTCCAATTCCTTCCTCTGCTGCTTGTCACCATCTGGACTCCCCATTGAAGCTTCTTCTTCCACCACCTCTGCCCAGTTAGATGGCCGAACAATGACGATGTCGAGATCCTTCAAATGCTGGAAGTACTGCTTCTCGAATCGATAGTACCCACACAACTTGGGAAACTAAAAAATGACACAAATTATAACCCTAACTGTGCTAATTTAGGAAAATCCAGGAGACCAGTCACCCCATTCCTTGCACACTTGAAGTACAGACGACCATGATTCTCACTGCTCTTCTTGGTCCGCCCTTCCACCACTCGAGCAAGATCGCAATCCGAGTAAGGGATCAACGGGAAACCGCTGAGCTCACCAATGGGATCGAGACCGACCAAGGCAATGCGGGTGCTCGGGCCACCGTGAAGCCTGCTCCTCGCCCGTCCACCTCCAGACGACTCCGAGTAATGCTCCATCGAGAAAGCTAGGAGAGGAAGGAGGGAGAGGAAGGCGGCGGCGTCGTCGGATGGCGGCGACGGCGGCGGAGGGCTACGGCAAGACCGGGAAGACGAAGAACGAGCGGGGAAATGGGCCGGGTGAGGTGACTGAGTGCGGCCTGCCTGGGTTAGCAGCAGAGGGCAGGGGCAGCCGTGGTCATTTGCCACCCCCTTGCTGCCTCGGATCCGATGTGGACTCACGCGCTGTCGTGCCACGAGTGCAAATGTGGCATTTCTGTATCTCTTCTCTCCGTTGCGTGCTAAAATAGTATTGCCATCCATTGAAGTGAAATCTCAAGAGGTGGCGATTCTTATAATGGTAAAAAGTTAAATCTGTTGGCCCACAGTTAGCCTTCCGACCACCGAGATGATCTCCAGACCACCCCGTTGGTCTCACAGGATCACCGGCTCACGACAGTGAACCACTCCAGCCGATCTTGCCGACCACCGGCTCAGGCGAGTGGAGCACTTGTCGGTCTCGCCGAGCACGCGCTAGTGTTGCCGAGCACCCACTAGCCGTGCAGACCACGTATCGGCGTTGTCCGTACCCACACACTACGGATCGAGCTAGAAGAGGAAGGGAGAACAGAGCAAGCACACACAATACAAGGCAACAGCGTTGGCCGAAGCCCTGTCTGTGTGATGGCAAATCTGAGCTCTCTTTACTGAGTTGCCATACATGTCTATTTATACAACTCTAACTATCTAGTCCATGTGCGGCGCCCATCTTGTACACGATAACTAGATAACTTTGACAGTGACTGACTCTGCGGCCACTACATTCCTCTGATCTTGTAGGTGAGCCGTCTGGCGCTTTGCACCTACATCGACTCTTGTATCACAAAGAGAGGCAAAAGTCGGCGCCGCCTTCCCTTCTTTGTGTTCACACACGAGAGTGACTAAGTCGGCGCCGCCTTCCTCTCTGCTGTGTTCTCTCACAAGATGGCGATAGATTAGCTAACAAAATCTCCGTCCGTCGTTTCTTAGGGCAACATCAATGCACCAAGATGCACACAGAATATATATGAGCCCTAATGACAATGTTGGCTAAACTAAGGAGTTCTTCATGCCTAAATGGCCATATACTGGCTCGAGTCTCTTTCTCCACAGGAATCCTTGCATGTCACCGTGTGTCTATCAAAGAAAGAAAAGAAACATAGGGCGATGCAGGGCATGCATTTTGCCGGGCTATGACACTGCCTCTCCACAGTCGCCAAGATGGAGACCACATGGCCTCCATCATGGATCTACTGAGAAAGGCAATTAGGAGGTCCTGTTAGTAGCGGTGTTCAAAGAGTTGGCTAATCTAAAATAGTGTGAACCCACCGATCATTGAAGTGGCCTTGTTAGTAAGTCGTGAAACTGGTAAAATTATTGATGAAAGGATGACAATTCGAAATGCTAAAAGAGGCATAGGTATTATTGAATTGTTGCAAACTAAATTGAAGAAACATGAGTGCACGCTAAACCTAGATTGTAATCAAATATCATATTGGGGGGGGATCATGTAAGCAGCGGCTGAACATGGGAGCAGTTAAATATACCTATAATATAAATTTAATTGATATAACTTCTCTTAAATCTAAAAATAGAACATAAGGAAGAGCGTCGAATTTTAAAATATAGGCTTCAAATCCATACACAAAACATGATATATTCCTCCCAAATCTAAATTTGATTGATATATTACTCTCAAATCTCAAGGCGGTTGTATCAACTCGATGTACATAACTTAGGTACAAAATTTTATTGGATGGGGCAGTCCAAAATTGTGACCGAGCATGTTTCTGGAAGAACTATTTAAATGCTAAAACTGAGACAGCCTTGGCATAACACGTGATACTGTGCTCATGTAAGCATTATGATATTGTTAGTTGGTACACTGACAAAGTGATAAACCTTAAAAACAGAAACCCATGCTTGCACATTAAGGTAAACAAAACTATGATACACCAGCAGCGTTGGACAATACAACTGCATCAGACATCTTTCAACATTTTAATAATATTCTGTTTTTTCCTGGAAAAGGCCGCAAATTAGTTTTGACTGCATCAGACATCTCTCAGCCCTGTTTTCATAGTATTATTTGAATGGAAGCTAAAACGAAATATCATGTAAAAGGTGAGGCACAGGTGGTACCTTGAGCTGTAAATGGTGGTGGACCGCAAGCAACCACTTTCGACGCCGCATCGCATAGGCGTTGGAGTGCTTGGTATTACGTAGTTCCTTCATGCATAGAATATATGTCCTTTTAGGAGAGTAATTTTGACACTTTGCAACAGGATATATGTCCTTTTATATTCATGTGTAATCTGAGAGAAGAATGTAAAATTTGCTACCATGAATAAGACAATCATATACAATGTGTTATCTAGACATGTGACTAAAGAGCACATTAGGTACAGGAAAGTACGTATTCAGGTTGGGAACTAATAAACTGGGCATTAACTACTAAAACTACAGTAGGAACTATTAAAACTGCAAAGGTAGACCGTGGAACACATAATCTGGCTGTAGTGGGGATTTTAAAGAGAAGCTAAATAAATATGCATTGACATAAATTCAATCTATGTTTAGGAATCTGAAACCTGCATAGCACACCATTGGTTGTTGGATTACTGTTGTTCTTGCATCAAATGCCAACACATAAGAACAAGGCTTGCACTAAATCAGAAAATCAGAATAGATATTTAGCAGCCACACAACTGTAGTGCCGAGTGCGAGCTTATAGGTGCCATGTAATCACTGCAATAGAAACTAACATGATTTTCAATTGGTTCAACTATGAATAATCTCAGGTTTTCTTGCTGCTAGAACACTAAACTTAGGCCAAAAAAGGAAACTAAATTTCACATAGTATCGGTTGATAATAGCGATGGGTGTTTCACTATCAATTTCATACTTTCACTTTCTCCTGTGCTCCTCTTTCGTAGAGATCACCTGGTGACCAACAAAAAAATTTGGATGACAAGGCTGCATACATAGATCACTATTCTGTGAACGATTAGCAAATTGGAAGGAGATATCATGAAGTATTAATTCTAATTATATTAGCAATTAGGGATAGAAGTGTATGACGAATCATCGTAACACAAAACTATGGAAGGGTCGAAACAAATCATTAGGCACGTGTATTATCTCTCGTGTCTCGCATCCAATTCGTTTTATGTGATATATGGATATAGTATGAAACAAAACAACAACAACCTACAAAGCAGCGAGAAATGGAAAGGCAGTGATCCAAATATATCTAAATTTCGTACACACTTGATTTTGCTTTTACTGAGATCATAATATTACGATTAATTGTCGACATAATTTAAATGGGAAAAAGTTTGGAATAGCTAGTGGGAAACTGTTTTTCGAGCGTAGTGGAGCACTTGTCGGTCTCATGAGCACGCAGCTAGTGTTGCCGAGCACCCACTAGCCGTGCGGAGACCACGACTCGCGTTGTCCGTACCCACACACTACGGATCGAGCTAGAAGAGGAATGGAGAATAGAGCAAGCACGCACAATACAAGGCAACAACGCCACCGGCGAGCCACCACATCTGTGTGATGGCAAATCTGAGCTCTCTTTACTTGAGTTGCCATACATGTCTATTTATACAAGTCTAACTATCTAGTCCATGTGCGGCGCCCATGCCGTACAAATGACTAGATAACCTAATGAGGTCTGACTCTGCCAGGCCATCGTTTTTTCCTCTCTCTGATCTTTGTAGGTGAGCCGTCTGGCGCTGCGCACCTCTGGCTGACTCTTGTATCACAAATAGGGGCAAAGTCAAGTCGCCGCCGCCTTCCCTTGCTTGTGTTCACACACACAATGACTGACTAAGTCGGCGCCGCCTTCCTCTGCTGTGTTCTCACAAGGTGGCAGTAGATTAGCTAACAATCTTCCCCTAATCCTACTGCTATCCCTTGTAACCCCTCCATGCCGATCATCTCCTTCAGCTCCGTGAGTCGAAGTCTTCCGAGCGGCTTGGTGAGGACGTCCGCGAGTTGCCGACCAGTTTTGACAAACTCGATGATGATCTGCCCTCCATCAACACAGTCCCTGAGGAAGTGGAACTTCACGTCGATGTGTTTACTCCGGTCGTGCAGAACCGGATTCTTCGCGAGGGCGATGGCGGGCTGGTTGTCCACCATCAGTGCTGGTGGGTGAGCTTCCACGCCGGTTAGCTCACCCAGCAGCCGGCGTAGCCACACAACTTGGCACGCCGCTGTGGCCGCCGCTACGTACTCTACCTCGCACGTAGATAGCGCTACCACTTTCTATTTCAGCGACAGCCATGAAATTGGGGCTGACCCGAGGAAGACGAGTACGCTAGAGGTGCTCCGTCGTCCGTCGATGTCCCCCACCATGTCTGCATCGCTGAACACCGTGAGCTGCAGCCTACTTCCCCCAGTCTTTGGGAAGATGATTCCATGATTCACCGTCCCCTTGACGTAGCGTAGTAGCCGCTTTATCGCAGCCCAGTGATCCTCTCTGGGATCCTCCATGAAGCGACTGACGTAGCCCACGGCGAACGCAATGTCTGGCCTTGTGCGGACTAGGTAGCGCAGACCGCCGATGATGCTTCGGTAGAGTGTTGCATCTACTTTCGCCGCGGTGCTATCCTTCGTCAGCTTCAGCCGCTCCTCCATCGGAGTCACGCATGGCTTGCACTCCACCATGCCGCTCCTCTCCAACAGCTTGGAGGCATACGCGCTTTGCCCGAGCGTGAGTTCCTCCTTTCCCTGTCTCACCTCGATACCGAGGTAGTAGGAGAGAGCACCGAGATCGCTCATTCAGAAACGAGCTGCCATCTCTCGCTTGAAGCTGTTGATATTCTCCGTGCGCGCGCCGGTGATGATTAAGTCATCCACATACACGCCGACCACGAGTTCTTCCTTCCCCGTCGTCGCGTGTAGAAGCGCGTGCTCGATTCTTCGCGCACTCTCAAACCCAAGCTCGCCCGGCGTGGTGTCAAGCTTGGCGT